CATGAGACTTAGACCTGAGTGCAACAATGAAGGCTCTAGACCCTTCCAGAGCTGAGATATCGAAATTTAAAATTTCAACCAGAAAAAAAACGATAGTGTTATCCCTTACGTTTTTTTTTTGGGCGAAAAATTAAGTATCCCCAATCTTCTCAAAACTCTGGATTCTGATAGAGGGCCATGAGACTTAGACCTGAGTGCAAAAATGGAGGCTCTAGAACCTTGCAGAGCTGAGATATCTAAATTTAAAATTTCGACCAGAAAAAAAACGACAGTGTTACCCCTTACGTTTTTTTTTTTGGGTCGAAAAATTAAGTATCCCCAATCTTCTCAAAACTCTGGATTCTGATAGAGGGCCATGAGACATAGACCTGAGTGCAACAATGGAGGCACTAGACCCTTCCAGAGGTGAGATATCGAAAATCAAAATTTCGACCCGAAAAAACAACAACAACTGTGTTACCCCTTACGGTTTTTTTTGGGTCGAAAAATTAAGTATCCCCAATCTTCTCAAAACTCTGGATTCTGATAGAGGGCCATGAGACATAGACCTGAGTGCAACAATGGAGGCACTAGACCCTTCCAGAGGTGAGATATCGAAAATCAAAATTTCGACCCGAAAAAACAACAACAACTGTGTTACCCCTTACGTTTTTTTTTGGGGCGAAAAATGTAGTATCCCCAATCTTCTCAAAAGTCTGGATTCTGATAGAGGGCCACGAGACTTAGACCTGAGTGCAACAATGGAGGCTCTAGACCCTTCCAGAGCTGAGATATCGAAAATCAAAATTTCGACCCGAAAAAAACAACAACAACTGTGTCACCACTTACGGTTTATTCTAATGGGGATTTGTTATACCCTATATGAAGAGTTCAGATGCAAAAGCCTCTAAGTGCCATTTGAAATTTTCTTCTAAAATTATCATTTTTATCAAGCTTGTATATTTAAGTTCAGTAATTTCACTTAAATGGCAATGAAGATTACCTATTAATGGTCATTTAAGTGAAATAACTGAACTTAAATACACAAGCTTGATAAAAATGGTCATTCTAGAACCAAATTTCAAATGGCACTTAGAGGCTTTTGCATCTGAACTCTTCATATATACATTACACATACAGTATACAGTATTTGATTATATGAGTGGTTTTCTGTTTTGTTTCAATAAATATAACACCAATATAATGGTTTGAATAGTATCTACTTATTATGGGAGATGTTCATTTGGACCAACATGTTTCAGGTGGGGATCATCAACATTTGCTTCTTAGACATCATAAAGACTGTAAAAGTACAAAAGTTAGAAAACATATATCAATAGGGTCCTAAGGGCAGGAGTTCCAGTGATCCAATGTCACAATTTATTTTTACATTTTTTGGTGTTCATTTGAGTGTTTATGCACTATACATCATCTAATCATGACTTGATGATGAATTTAGGGTCTCAGGTATATCTACCATAAGGGAGCGCGTCTTGTTCATTCGTGGAATTTCCAGAGAGTTGGGGGCATCAAATTCAGGTTTCACCTCCTGTATCATGATCCCACCGGTCCAGTTCACCACACTTGAGCCATGAATGTTTGTTGTTATTTTGTTCAGATTGTCCCACTCGAGATGAAACACATTCCCTCACCAGTAGTAGTAATAATAATAATAATGAAAGTATAATTAATTAATTATTAAGCATAACATTTTTTTTTCAACTTAAGAGAAATCTGGAGAGACCATTATCTGCCAGTCAATGTGGGCTTCCATAACACTAAATGCTCTTCACCAAGAAAGACCTTTCTAATTGTGTGTTGGTGCATGGTGTAGGCTATGTATTTGTGTAGTTAGTTTAAAAATGTATGTTAAATAAACCTCACATTACCAGTGAAACCTAATTACATGTGATTTTTAATTAATGCATATTTTTGAACACGTTGTATCTTAAAATGTATTATTTAATTAAAATATCTATGTTATATTTTTAATGTGCAACAAGTGAACATTGGGAACAAGCTCAACATGTGTTCAACAATAATTTACATAGCCAGCTATGAAAAATGGAGGAGATTTATCAAATCGAAAACTAAAGGAGAAAAACAGACTGCCTATATGTGCTTTTTTGGATATCCAAGGTGGCAACCAATATAGCCAGAACATACATACATGTGACAATATTTCAGGTGGGGATCATCAACATTTGCTTCTTAGACATCCTAAAGACTGTAAAAATACAAAAGTTAGAAAACATATATCAGAAGGGTCCATAGGGGAGGAGTTCCAGTGATCTAATGTCACCATTTTTTGACATTTTTTGGTGTTTATTTGAGTTTTTATGCACTATACATCATCTAATCAAGACAATCCTCATATCTATCAATTCCTCATGCAAAGACGAAGAGAAAATGGGGTAGATTGTGTCTGTAGGATGTATTGTTCAGATTCTATGTAGGTTTAAAGTTTTCATTTTCCGCAGCCAAAAATCAAGCACGGACACAAAAGATGATACAAAAAAATCACATATGGGACAAAAATTTGCGCGGGGAACATCAAAATTCCTTTTCCAGACACCTTAAGGATTACAAAAAACTAGGTTAAAAAAATATATCTTTCGGGTGCAGGTGAACCCCCCCTTCCTACCCTACTATATAGGTTTATGTCCTTCAAAGCAAACTGTGTTCTCAAAACTGAAGCCAAGTACATGTCTATGAGCTTTGCTGTGTTATTCTGTCTAAATTAATTGAAACCCTTGGATCATGGTTATTTGTAGGTGTGTTTCGACTGACCGTCAGACATTATAGTTCAAGTCTTGCATTCTGTTCTCCAAATGCAGTACGGGGAGGGCTAAATCAGGAGCAGATACGGGCAACCCTGACCTGGCATAGTTCTCCCCAGCTGGAGCCGCTGCTGGAAAAGCCATTTCTCTACAACATGCAAACAAATATAAAACAAATGGTGTACAGCCATGTAAAGAGAGGGAGAACAAATGTTAGCAAATATGAGGTCAGAGGCTGAGTTATGACCTCACTGCCTATTGCATTACGTTAAATTGCGAAAGTCGCTTTGACCGATAATATGTGCCAATGTTTTGCAAAAAGCTGATGAAGAAACAGGTTTAAGAGTCATTTCATTTACTCCAGAAGTTTTTACTGGCAAGTATTGTATCTGTGCCCCTCGGCTTTAACTGTTCATTGGTTGGTTGTGTGACTGATTTTTGGACAGACATCTATGAGTGAGCCTTTAGACAATTTTGGACACTCCATTTAACATACTGTATACATAAACCAATATGCAAGCAAATACCTTGCCTTTATGGTATGTTTTTGCATGTTGAGCCACAGTATCTTTGCCCACTCCATTCAGTGGAGTTAGGGCACATTTTTAAAACCAGAGAGAGAAGTGTTGGCACACAAAAATATTGTAAGTAACAACACTGTAGTCAAAGCAAAACCATCTTCCTTTGGGGTTTGATGCATTTGGCTTTGACAAGCTGAACACAAAGGCCAACATTTAGTTACTAAAACATCTGACAACACTCTTTCTGAAGACTTTTCAAAACGAGGTTGGAAACTAATAGATTGTAAAGCACAATTAAACTCACTGGATGATTCTTTTCACATGGAGACTTTCTTTGAGCTACTTGTCATATGGTTGATATTGTGTAGATTGTCTTGGCCTCCTCTGTTAATTAGAGGCTGAAACCATTGAAATACATAAATAAATATCAAACTACTTTTAATCCACCTCTTATGACGTCTTGAATTGATCTTTAAGCTTGGCTGAACCTTAATTTTCAACTTTTATATGATTCATAAACATTTAGTTTGAAAATTAAGTAGTTTTATGAGATCCTTTTATGAGAGAGTGCTAAAGTCAACCCAAACGACAGAGCTCGTCTTAATAATATTTTGGAGTTGGTGTGTACTAACTGCGCTCTATTTGGGTATCATAAGGCTGGTAATCAAGAACCAGTTTATATTCAGACCTGGTTAAATCTTTGAAATGTGATTGCCCAACAAACAAGTCAGATCTTTTGGAATGATTTTCAAAATGCTTTATTGAATGAAAACAAACAATTAGTGTTGTCCGATATCTGAAAAAGTGCAGATTATTTTTTTGTGAATCAAAAACACATAGGAACCCAATTAATTTGACCCATTTATTGAAAGTCATTACTTTGAAATGACAAAACAACAAACAAACAAACAAACAAACAAAAACATATTGTGTTGTGTTGTAGGTTACTTATAAACTTGGGACTTTTGTTGTTTATTTATTTCTCATTTAACGTGTAGGGCCAATTATTACATGCATGATGCATTGAAAAGGTATTTCAACGTATAGGCTAGTGAAAACTACTTATCCTACACCTATAATAAATTATCTATAGATTTTTTTTTTTTACTCAAAAGTTGCCAAGTAAGAAGATTTTATAGGCAATAAACAACTACGGTCATCTAGGTCACTGTCACAACTAGGTCATCAGGAGATCTTGTTTGCACAGTGTTGAAAAAAAGCCTGGATAGATGCAGTAGATGAGCTTTCTCAGTTTTTAGGTTGAAGAACAAAACACTCCTAACTAAAACAAACTACTGTACAAATGTATAGTGTTAAATATCAGCTGAGCGCTTGCAGAACAGATGACAGAACAGTTTTTAGGAACAAGACCTGACGTGAAAGCGCTTCATTATACAGTACAGTGTACATTATCATAAATCATCCCGCAGCCCATTCACAACTCTTCAGTTTCACATTGAACACATAAACTCTTTCGACAGCGTGTGTTTACTTGCTCGGACCGTTCATTGAGAGGGAGTGCTGCGAACATGCTTCCCATTTCAATGAACCCTGTGCTCTTTTTTATGGACGGTCGGACAGTGAGGAGCGCTGATGCGCCGAATAGCCTGATTGGTGGAATTTAAACCCCCACCCTTTCCTCATCAGCCGGTGCCACTACACAACCCCCCACCCCACCACCCCCCACACACCCGCCGACTGTCAACGCTCAGCACCAGTCAGCAGTTCTCTGTGTACCTGCGCTCGCAGACAGAGGCGGTGCGCGTTACCCAAATGGACCCAGTGGATTTTACTTGAGGAACGACTGAAACAGGACATTTTAAACAATTAGCAATGTCTCTATATTGCATTGCATTGATTTGCGGATCGTTCCTTTCCCCGTTTTTAAAGAGGTAACAGTTAAGGTGCATGCATGCCAAAATGGATTGCCTTTTCCTTTTGCTTTGGAGTTTACAAGTCCCTTTGGTTAACAGCACATCAGTGAGATTACTGGCGAGTGTGTCTTTTGGGAACTTTATTAAGGCAGGTGACACACTGATAATTAATTATTTATTATATATACTGAACTCATTGTCATTTAGCAAGTTAATTGTGGTGAGCTATTTGCAGGCTCTGCAGTTCTGTTGCTTCCACTCTGTGACATCGCTCTCATTTACCGGCGACACCGGCGGCCTCTATCAAGGTTCGTGTCTTTACGCACTGCAATTTATGATTGTATTTTTATTCTTTATAATTATGACAAGGCAATAATTGATGCCGATGGCGCTCTTGTGTTTTAGTTGAGCCGAAATTCCTTACCTGTTCTTATTGGATAGCTACCTTACCTGTACAGCTATAATACGCGGAAGCATGCTACATAGATTAGTGGAATTAGGGGGTTTACAACATAAATATACTCCCAAGATGTGAGTTTCCTGTGCCTGTGCACGCGTAGCCTTCTGTATGTGTGGGCGCATTAAATGGATTCCCTCTTCTCTTATCTGCCGCGTAGGAGCTAGTCACTGAGAGTTTTGGTATTGTCTTTTTAATTCATATTTACACAACCAGTGGAAAGTTTGGAAACACTTCCCTGTGAGATTATGGTTAAATGCTTGACATTAGTTTTGTATATAAATTGTGGCTATACATGAAACATATGTTTTCTTACCTGTATTGCATTTCGTCTTAACAAAGAACATTTTGGTGGGACATGAAAGGGATTATCCCATAAAGAATAATGATAAAAAAAAGATTAACCATTAGAGTTGCCATCAGTCTTTGACTGGTGCTATTATGGGGAGTAGCAATAAAAACCATTTCATCGGACATAAATATGTGTAGTGCAGGATGAGTCTTCGGTATTTTTGCTATAATTTTCCTGGAAGAGAAAATTTTAAGTATCTGGTAAAATTGTCAGCTTTAAGGAGTGTACTAGCATAGAAATAACCAAATAGGCAATAGACATGGAATCAAAGTCACAACACAACCTGTCCTGATTCCTGATGGACAGAAAACTGTTGCTGACACTACAATATTAAGTTATATTAGTGAGACTAATGCTATGATTAACTGGTAATGAATTGGTATTGAGTCAGATTATTTAAACTGTGTTTGTCCACAGATTACGATTTTGCCACTCCAGTGCAAGTGGACTCACTTGGAGGCTACATTTCCCATGATGTGACAAGACATGAACGAACCAGGAGGTCCCTGTCAGAAGCTGCTGGTTCAGTGCATTATCATGTCTCTGCATTTGGCAAGGAATTGCATTTAGACTTGCAGCCATCCCATGTGCTGGCAGAGGGGTTTACCATACAGACACTGGGTGCAGAGGGCATCAACACAGCGACCCTTGACCCTTCTATTCATAACTGCCTCTATCAGGGTTCTATACGAAACCATTCTGAATCCTCTGTGGCTATATCCACCTGCACAGGTCTGGTAAGTGTCTCCTTTTACACTCACAATGAGCTGCAATGTTTACTAGTTTTAGAGGAAGATTTAGGCATCCTAAATGAAATAGAACCTCATAAGTGACTGATTTGAAATGCTCTACATGGGCAGCAGCAACTTCTGTGCCCAAACATATCTGAACATTTCACCAAACAATGTTTTGGCATTGATTATTGGCAATGTTTTGAATTTGGCCAAAAGAGTGGTGCAGGTTAGACATCACTTTGTGGGCCAATCGGCATTTAGCATCATACTTGTTCCCTAAAGAAAAACCCAATAGGATTTTTCCATAGGCTTTTGGATTATCGCAAAAAAACAAACTCTTTGATCAACAGAAGTTTATGATACTTACACGTTTTGCCCATAAAGATAATTATCACAGATTAACGCAACTTTGATACATTTTGAAGACTAAATGCAGTAGGCAGAAATAAAAAGCTAAAGGAAGGCTACGGTCCCACAACTTCAACGTCACCACCAAGCTTCCGACAACTCTCTCAGTTATCTAAAAACATTTTCCCAGAAAGTTTGAGTTAGAATTGTCTAAGAGCACATAAGCATAACTAGACTGCCTCTGTAGTCCCATTTAGCCACTTTTTAGCAACCGCCTTTTTCAAGACACGTTACAGCTTCAGAAAATCAGGAGTGGGATAATACTAATGTATTTTATGTCTCAGAATAACATACGGAAGTGTCTTGGGCTTGTTCACCACAGACCTCTTTTCAGCCATTTAACAAAAACCCCATTCAAAAAACTTATTGACTCTGAGACGATGGAACAGGAGGTGTTAAAATGCTAACTCGTTTCCACGTTTTGGCACACAAAGTGGTGTAATAATTGACCACTACTGTATATTAAGTTGCTAACAAGCTTTGTGTCTTGCTTGGATGCTGCACTTCCATCTACTGACGTGGATCAGTGTCTCAGAGTTTTGTCAATTACCGTACACTGATATAGGGAGTTCAAGAGAGCGTTCTACCCAATGATGAATTCACTCACCTCTTTAACAAAAGAAACAACTTGAGCATCACATCCCAGTTTTCAAATGTTTACGTTTTTTTATTTTTTTGTCTTTGTCAGTCTTTCTGTCTCATGACCTTTTTTTGCTTCTTTGGGTCATATTATAATACCGTAATATCCACTGGTAAAACACAATAAGGCCGGATTCACATATAGCGCCTAAAAACACGTAGGAAACGCCGGGCGCGCCGCATTCTCCTTTTTCCAAAACGCCAGGGCGGTTGCGCTCTGGTTGGTTCTTGTCACGTGACCTATTGTGCGCTTATGGTGCGCTTGCGGCATTCTGAAAAGTTGAGATGTTTTTATCTCGACGCGGCGTGGACACGCATGGAAAAAAAGAGCGCGTCGCACCGCGACCGCGTCGCTTCCATTATGAGCGCGCATACCACGCGCCTACATTTGAAATAACGAACTTGAGCGCGCAAAAGATGCGATATGTGAACCGGCCCTAATAAGTGTGTTCCATTGTCTAATTTAGACTTTTTTCTTTTGGAGCAAAAAACTTTTTAAAATGAGCAAACCTTTTTTTTTTTTATAAAAAAAAGTAATTATGATCCATTCCATTGTTGCTTTACTCATTAAGTATATGTGCTTTTTTCAAATAGCTGCCAATGTCAAGTATGCAAACATATTTGAGTTATGGTTTGTAAAGTACATGTTGTGACTGCTGGAGCTTAGGAAGTATATGGTGTTTCACTGAGCGAAAACTGTTGTATATAGTGTGCATGAAGAGCGTAAAACAGGTTCACTGGAGAATTGAAGTATGAAGTAAACCAAAGTAGAGACATGGCTTGTGTGGGATGGAGCATTGAGCTTTGCTGGATGTATCTCACGTCTCACCTTGTGTTATGTGCTACTGTAAAATCATCCTCAGAGTTCTGCTGAAGGACTCTGCATTCACTCCCTGCTCTTTTGTTCTGTGTTTACCCTGCTTTCCTGTCTCCCTTGTTCTCTACAATTAAAGACAGAGTGAGGTTTCAGGCGCATGGCTGGCAACGCTAATCTTTTCATTGTCCTTTTCATTAGTGGTAGCTTCTCCACTATAAAACAGCAGTGACCCATTCTTTTAAAACTGTGTGACAACACAATGTGATTTGGGAGCAATTGCATCTGAATAGACTGCAGGGACTCTTTGATCTACTCCCCCTTTCTTTTGAAGCTCTTTTTTAGAATGATGGTCCGAGTTCTAGGTGACTCTCTTGACGGTCTTAAAGGTGCCCCATTTCAGATATACAGGACGTCAAACAAGACCTGTGTGTCCCTTCAGATTTTGTGCTTAAATGTACAGAAAAAAAGGGAAATGTCTGAGAAAAAAGGGGTCTCTCATTCTGTCACTCTGCCTCTTTCACTCTCCCTTTCTTTGTTGGATTGAAAAAGAACGAGTCACAGAAGACTTTAACCCTTCCATGTCATCTCCGCTTGATGAGGAGCTTTGGATTAACTACAAATGAGAACCCATTCATCCCTCTGCTGATCCGCAGCAACCCCTTGTGCTGTGAAAGGCTGAGGAGGCAGTTGCTTAGAGGAAGAGAGGTTTTGTGTGGCGAGAATGCCAGTCCAAAAGTAAAATCAATGCTTATCTGGTTGAGAACCCCCACAGTCGAAACATTCAGAGGTTGATTTGCTCGTACTAGTCCTCTTGCTCACTGTTAAACAGTGCATGACATAGCAGATGGACAGGGATTCTGTTGTTAAACGAAGAACAGGCGGTCCCAGCTTTTAAGTCAGGAACAGAGGGATTTACTCACTAAATCCTGCTTCATTTAAAGTTTTTAATTACTGAGTGCTCTTCAATTGCTGTTATCACTTGCAATGGATTGTGTGGCCTCAGATTTGATGACATGATCAAATCATCTTCCATCCATCCTTTAAACAACACACATCATCGTAGTAATGAATTCCTGGTTGATTTATGGATTGGTTTAGTCATGTGTGTTGTTTCTTGGTTGGTTCAAAATCTTCTAAATGGGCTGCATCCAGGATGGAGTGGTGCCAGTCTGCTTCAGTTTGTAAAAGCTGATTAGCAGGCGGAGCTTCTGAAATGTTCCTCTGCTACTTCCTGTTCAGAGGTCAGAACTTCACCAGATCAAGCTTCAGGGTCACATGGTTGAGCAAGTTCAGAGTTGCTTTTCCAGCCTAGGCATCGACAAATCCACATCCTCATGCCTTCCCTGGGTCACTGTTCCATATGGCTGGTGACAGGTTCAAGCCCATCCCCCTTTGAATTGGCTGATCCTGCTTTCTAGACGTGTTTTGACTGGCCGGGCCACCATGCCGTCCAGAGCTACTTTAAGTATCACAATGAAAGACTTAGAGATCTTTCACAATACTGTTCAACTTGATTTTTTCTTGATTTTTTATTGATGAACTATTCTGGCAGTGCTGCTATATTTTAGTTATGATTTGTTTGACACATGGGCACTCATTTCTGGCTAGTCCAGTTTAACATATCCTTAGACCTGTCAGATCAAGTTAAAGCAGGTAATGAGACAGTAGACTTGACATGTTCTTATCTGTTTATGTTAATTGGCAGCATTGTTTACAATTAGCATGTTAACAACAATTAGCATGCTAGAAAGCGCTGCTGGGTAGCAAAACAATAGGTTGACTATAGCCTTAGGTTACAATTGTTGACATTGTGAATCAAGTAATTATCTCAGTCAACATATAGCATGATGTACAACTTGATAGAGGTGCTGTTTGCTGATGTTTGTTTGATTAAAACAAACCCTGGTTCAATTGCTCTGTTAGCGCGGTTCATTTTTATAAGTGTGAGCGCTGTCATCCAAACCCTGGTGTGCACTAAACAAGGGGACCGAGACCAGTTTGAAGGAAAAATGAATGCAACACGGACCAAAGATTTGTAAACGAACCAAAAAGGGAAGATGAGACCCTAAAAAGAACAGAATTCTCTGTTTCTCATCATAGTCGTGATGTCAGAGAACTGTTGTCTCCTTGGAGAAGATCTTTGTGTGTGTGAGGGCCTCCTTTACACATTTTATAAGCTCTTCACAAGTTCTCAGCTGGTCAAAATACTATCATACGTAGGCTATGCACATACAATGAGCGCATTTAGCCCAGCATACTGCATTGTTTTGGATGTTCAGTAAGATCTGTCTCAAAGGCTAGGGGGGACTTTGTGATGTAGCCATGCACACTGACTAGTTTCATTCTAGCGTTTAATGCTAAGGAGGATTCTAGACTATAAGCCTTAGTAGGATTGGACTAGGAAAGACGCAGTCTCGGTAGGATGCAGCCTTCCGTTTGAGAAGCCCCTGGGAAGTCTGTCCAGGCCAGTGTGTTTGATTACACACAGACGAGCACCCACGGGGGTTGGGGTATGGAAGGACTGTTGAAAATGGACGCATTTTCTGTCCAATGATTCTAAGTGGTCTTGGAAATGATTGGCTGGAGTTTTTTGAGTCCTGCCCGCTCCACAAATGATTAAATTTCTCAATTTTTATTTTCAATGCTTCTAACTCAGTGGCTATAAGTGGGTTAGGAATACGATTTCAAATGATTTAGAAAAAAAAAAATCGCAAAAAAGTAAATGACATACCCCACCTTTAAGTCCATTTCATAATAATAAAGTTATACTGTAATACTTATACTTAGGTAATTAAGTTTCTAATCCAGTTTGTTTTGTTTTAAATGGTAGCTGTCACAAAAATTTGCCGGATTTATTGCATCTTTGCATCAATTTTGCAACAACAACATCTTTGTTCAACTTTCTTTTCATAATTATAAATAAATGCATAGTCTATATGTTTGTCCTGTATGTTCGTGAATAAAAATGAAAATGTGACAGAAACAGAAGCTATTAAATGTCTTATTATCTTTAAAATATGAAAATTAAAATGACAGGTAGTAATAATTATCAAATTATCAAAATGATGAACGGTGTGAATGTCTAACACAACTTTTTTTTTGCTCCGCACCAAAAAAACAAACAAACAAGCAAACCGAA